CACTAGAATCATCTACACAAAAGGGATTTCGGTACTCCACACACTCTCTCTCCTCATCAAATCTCGCTATAATGCTCAACAATGACCTCTTCATGAGCCTTTCCTTAATTTCATCAAGTCGTTGTAGCCCTCGGGGGAGTTTTCATTGTATCTCTTCTATGGTAAGCTTCTGATCAGTGCCTGACACTTATCTCGATGGTGGCATGATTAGGATTTGGGTGTGTGTAAGTGAGATAGAGTGTATATATGTGATGTTTGATATGTAGAAAAATTTGATTTAGATAGTGGAGGGGTTTAGGTAACCCTAAGATATGACTAGGGTTAGGTTAGCTGTGATACCAAACAATACCAAAGCAAGATTAAATAATGATAGAAAAATCAAATATTATCATTGAATTTAAAATAGTGAAATTCAATCACACAAAGGGAAAAAAAAATAACAACATACATGACACCAACACAAGTAGGATTGTATCCCAGAGGAGTGATGGTCATGTATGTGCGATGCAAGGGCATTAGTTGAATGCGCTTGATTGGTAGGATGGTGAAAGTTAGATGTAATGGGAAGATTGATTATATGGACAATGGATGGTTGATGGAGGGTTGTAGGTTCGGCTAAAGATTGGCAACAAGGTGGCAAGGAGGACAACAGGAGATGGGTGCAGGTTAGGCAACAAAGGCTAGTAGAAGGGGGATTGGAAGGTGAATCCATTCTGAAAGTGTGGGAGCACGGTGACATGTTGGCTGGAATGGAAGGAAACAACCTATAAGAGGCAATTTGGTGGCTACAACATGGAAGAGGGAGGGAAAGGGGGAGGCAACTCGGTGGTAAGAGGTTGGTAAGTGGCTGGAAGGTAGCAGGGAGCTGCAGAAGACAATAAATGTGTTGACTTTGGGGCACATGCAGCATTGGTGATAACAACAACAACAACAAAATGGTTGGTTACAGAGGATGAGAACGAGATACAGCCGGAGTACCACTCGCCATTGGATACATTTTTATAAGGGGAGAATTGGAGATGCCAACGACTATACCGACAGAAAACACACACAAATCTAAAATAGGAAAACAACATACTTATAGACCTAGGGTAAAAATGACTAGACCCCACTCCAAAAAGAAAGAAAATCCCTGCCTGGATGGCCCAGTCTGCCCCTCCTCTGCTTGGACCGAATAGGTACGGGTCAAAGTAGTCACAACAACTGACAAAATATGGATGCTAGACACTTGCACCAATCTCAATGTTTCACTAAGCTTGACAGCCATCAACTTTCCTCGTTCAACTCCTGCATCCCACCTTCATGTTATTAATACTACCACCTCATTGATCAAGAGAATATAATAATTTTATTTTATCAGCATTTTGCCTGCTAATTAATTTGTGGGTTAATCTAATCATTCTTCTTTGATTTTGGATGGATGATTTATATTAAAAGCTCTTATAAAATTATATAAGCGTATTTGTACTTTTTAGTATTTCTAACATTCTCGAACTTCATCAATTGTCATATTGGTGAAGACTTGAAGAACAAAAACCTAAATATAATGAAAAAATTAATAAAATAATCATTAAACCTATAATCTAAATCAAAAGAATTATCTCAAGCAATAACAAGAGGTTTACATTTTAGATTATTATTAATGGATGGGAAGTCAATCACACGGCGCATATTTTCTTATATATTAAATAAAGAATATATCTTAATACTTACCACTTCATAATGCATCTAAACCTTGAATAAAATATATGAATGAAATAAATTAGTAGGGATAGTAGTGGTAGTGAATATTATGAAAATATGTGGCATGTATGCTTTGTACATAATGCTAGGCACATCGCAATAAAATAGTGCTATAGAAAAGTATTATTGAACATTAATGAACAATGTTATAAGCATTTTAAATTATTATTCTTTGCTCTCATCATTGTTAATGTATGCACCTCTCCATTTGGAGCGATCTTTCTGTCTGAAGTCCGGAAATGCGGACAACGGACGCGGTGCAGCGATACAACGGTGGTCCGATCGTCCGCTGCATCGCTACCGTTGTCCTCACATCCGGACTCCGGACAGAAAAATTTGGCCTCCATTTGATAAGTTTTATAGATTATTTTATTTTTCAATTAAATTGTAGATATTTCCTATTAACATTTAAATATATAATTTGAGCTTATTTAGATTCAGATATAACCATTGCCGACCTTTTTGGATTCAGCTTGTAAAGACAATTAATTTGATTATAAATTTATTAAAATTAGAGAATGAATTATACAAAATTTAATTTTAGGAGTATTTAATTTAAAAAAATTACAATAAGTTATGTGTTTAAAAATTACAAAACTTGATCTTTAAAGGAAGCCTTAAACAAACAAAACAGGATTGATATGCACTTGATCTTTGTTGATTTTATCTTAAATAGAATATTGCATTTATCTTTTCCATTGGCTATGTCCTTAAATACTGAATTGAATTAGTAAATACATTAGATTGCAGTGTTTGAGAATGATAGCTAACGTATGCGTGTCTATTGCTTTGTAGGAACGAGGAAAAAATATTATGTATTGAGTCATGATTTAGAATTATACTCAGAAAACATAAGAAATACGAGTACAACGCTGTACTTATTATATATGTTTTACATATTGTATATGTAATCGTTGTATTTTGTGCAGTGTCAGGACGTAATTCTACATCCGGACTCCGCACATAATATTCTCTCTGACAGGAAGTCATAGTCCCGCCAACATGGCGCGCATTTTCCTTCCGGACACCCGACACAGCTCTACGTGCGGTGCAAGTTATTCCTGAGTAATTTTCATGTTATTTCTGGGTTATTTTTAATAATCCCGAAATAACCCAGAAATAACCCAAAAATAAAGACCGCGTGTTATTTCTTGGTTATTTTGGGATTATTGAAAATAACCCAAAAATAACCTGAAAATTACTCAAGAATACACTGCGCCGCACGTAGAGCTAGGTCAGGAGTCCGCACAGAAAATTTTTTTGCCATCATGACTCCGCACATAATATTCTCTCCTATAGGAAGACATAGTCCCGCCATCATGACTCCGCACATAATATTCTCTCCTATAGAAATGCCACCACCATTATAATAGCCCCAATAATCCAATATTGAGCAAAATAAGGTCCATAGAGTTGAATAAGAATTTATTGTTTTTATAGCATATTAAGTAAGTTAACTGTCAATTAATGTACGGAAAAAAAAATTTAGCACGAATCTCGAAGTGATCAAATTGTATGGAAGGGAAGAGATGAAACTCAATGATCTGATAAATTTAAAAGGGCTCAAGATCAGCTGACTAACTGATGAAAAGCCGATCAGATTAAATTATGCATGATTATCAAATAATCGTCCGGATCAAAGACAACGAACCAGGCGACTTAGAGTCGATCGGCTATCACTTGAAAGACGCTCAAATTCCCAAAGTCAAAATCGATTAATACTTATAAGGAATGAGTCGATCTAAGTCAGCTAAGTCAACCGATCCAATGACGTGCCGATCGAAAAACTGATATTTATGTATAATTGTCAACATCACTTGATGTGAAAAGATTTTTATGTCAGTTAGAGTGTCTTAGTTATAATTATGAAAAAACTTCTAGAAGGGAAAAAGCTGATCTTAAACACCCCTAAGTACATATGGGTAAATAATGACTTGTAAGGTCCCATTAAAGTACATCAAGATTTAAGTTTTCTTAATCAATTATTCATTAAAAGAAATAAAATGTTCATTAAAAATTGAAATATAGGTGTTAGATATGTTAATATGTATAAAACTGATGCGGTTTTTACGTGCTTAGCACCCAAAACATTCATATTTACTTATCTCTCACTTAAATTTTCATACTTACAAACATCATATTACGTAGCATTTATTATCACATTTTAATAGTCAAATTCATTTTTTCATCCATAAATAAGTGCTATGCGAGTAAAATGAAAGTTTAGGCGTGAGTTGCTGAATCCATAAGAATTGGATGCTATTTATGTAATTTTCCTAAAACTGATGGGTATTTAAATCTTTTTTAAAATTTACACAATATATATTTTAATTATACTCATAAAAATAATTTTTTTAAAATTTTAATTCTTTAATTTAGAACATGTGTATCCTGGGCATCCTATAGTTGTCCTTTGTGTGTTCTCTTTTTTTTTATTATTATTCAATTTGGACATTTATATGATGTGTCGGACACATGTTAGAATAGTGTCCATGTCCGATATGTGTCTGATAGTGCACGACTGCTTAATTAGACATATTCATGCATCATAGGGAAAATGCAGAGCAAAGTGGGCATGAGAAGGCATTCCATCTCCCTGTTTATATGAATCATAAGCTCTGAAA